CCTCCCACCACCACCACAACACATCCCCCCACCACAACAACACCTCCCACCATCACCACACCTCCTCCCACCACCACAACACCTCCCCCCACCACCACCACCCCTTCTGTCAGCACCTCCATCCCTGCCCCAAACATGTTGCCTGTGATGTCCACAAGCACCAGAGCTCCCAGCACCACCACTCCCACCACCCTCATCTCTGACACCTCACTGCCAGCCACTGTGAGCAGCAGTACTCCCAGCACTGCTGGCCATCCCCAAACCACCCTCCCCACCAGCACCTATACCACTCTCATGGGGTCTACTGGCACGTTTCCCACCACCTCCACCTTTCCCACCACCTCCACATCTCCTCCTCTGATGTTGCCCCCCACCATGCTTTCCACTCATGCCCCAACACCACCAGCTCCCCTGGACACTACACACTTCACCCAACCTGCACGTTCCCCTCCACCTGCACCCCCTCCCCTCTGCCCATGCTCCACCCCAGGACAGGCTGTACCTGTGCAGCGTTTGCGGTCGGGAGTGGAGGGACCCCAGTGGGGGCACTGGGTGCTGAGGCACTGTTGCCTGTTGCACTGGGTGCTCTACCTGGCCAGCTTGGTTCTGCTGGTCCTCACCGTGCTGGCTCTAGTGGGCTGGCTGCTGTGGATGTGTCTGGTGGGGCAACCCTCCTGGCACCAGTTCCTGCAGACCCAAGGGGTGCAGTATCCTCTGCTGGGCTGGAGGGAGCCAGAAGGAAACTCTGTGATGCATCTCAGCAGCTTGAAAAGTCCCCTGCAGCGGCCCAGGTTCTGCACCATCAAGGAAGTGGAGTTGTGCCCTGAGATCACCTACTGCACGATTAAAGATCTGGGGGTACAGCACAGTCCTCCTGCAAGTTCCTCCTACTGCACCACAAAGGAGCTGTGGGTCCACCACAGTCCTCTGCACACGTCGGTCAAGCCTTTCTGCAGGGAGATGATGGTCACAGACCTTGGCCTCCTGAGAGCCCCATCTGCTTACAGCCTGGACAGAGGTGTCGAGGCCAAGGGTGGTGTCAGAGTGAAGTATGCTGGCAACACCTTGTAAAAGCTGCTGCATGCTCAGAGGGAGGTGGAGGGTTGTGGCTCTGCTTCACGTGCCTTGTTTGGCAAGGGAAAGATCTGCTTGCCTAGGGGGAAGCCATCCAGCTCCTTCCTCGAGTGTTCTAAAACAGCCTGAGGTTTCTAGAGCTAAAATAATTTCTTGAGTATCTGGTAGAGGAAGATAATGTCCTAAACTGGTCAGTGATAGTTTGGGACTGCCAGTGCCTGGTTCAGGGGGAGGATATTTTGCTCGGCATCCCAATGTTCAGATGATACACAGAAAGATGTGTTCTGCTTTCAACTCACTGCCACAATCACATAATAAATATTCTGTGACTGCCTTTCAAAGGGCTCCTGGTTGCATTTCCTTGGACCTGCCACAGTCCTGGCAGGGCAGAGGTTTGTCTTCAGTATTTGGACACACACACACCCTTCCCTGTGCCAAATGAACAGAGGCACCCAGAGCCCACTACCCACTTCCAGGTCCCCACCACTACCACCCATCCAGGTCACTCAAGTCACCAGTTCTCCTCCTGTTCTTTGCAAGAAGCACCTGGATGTCCAACTTCCCAACCAGAAGCAACAAGTCCAAGTCAGGTGGTTCAGGAGCCACTTTTATTCAACCTAAGTGTGGGGGGAACCTGGGAGATCCTCAGCTCCCAGTGGAGAGCTCAAGGCAGGGGATTGAATATTCCTGGAGGCACAGAGTTGCAGTTGGGGAACCTTTGTATCCCACAGGGTCCCCAGAGTCTAGGTCACTTACCCTGGAGGTGAAAGGTTGCTGGAAACCACAGGAGGAACCCACTCTGGGATGCTACCTATGGGGTGCAGAGTTTTTCAGCCTCCCTATATATTATTATGGGGAGTTTCAGGTGATCTCAAGGGTTCTTCAGGGCAGCTGGGGCCACGCAGGGCAGGGGGTACAGTGAGGACACAGGCCTGCAGGTCAGTATAGGCATGGGGCAAGGTGCCCCGGGTGATCCAGCGCCGGGCAGCTGGCTGGTAGGCGTGGATCAAGTGGGTGTCCTGGTAAGTCTCATGGCTGTATCCTCCCAGTACAAGCAGTTCCCCTCCCAGCACAGCTGCTCCCCCAACGACATGGGCACGGGGCAGGGGGCTGAGCAGGACCCAGACATTTTGCTTGGGGCTGTAGACCTCAAAGGTCAACTGGTCCCTGTAGCCGATGAGCCCAGCACGGTGACACAGGCCCCCGGCCACGTAGAGCTGCCCACCTGCCTCCTCCATGACATGACCAGCTCGTTGGCCATTCATGGGGGCCAGGAGGGTGACGGGGGCGTCCGGGACGTAGCGCAGCAAGGCCGCCTGGCACTGGAATGCTTCGTCGCACCCGCCCGACACGTAGAGCGCACCGTCCAGGGCACACGCCGCGTGCCCACACAGAGCCTTCGGCAGGGGCTGGCACCTCCTGGGCAAGGAGAGAGGCAGGGGTGAAGGGCCCGGTGTCCCACAGTGGCTAACTGCCCAGGGAGCCACGGCCACACTGACCGCTCAGCAGGCAGTGCCCACCAACACCCAACAAGCCCCAGTGGGAAGCATCAGCTGACACACAGTAGATACCCAAGGGGCATCACTGTTCACTTTGTAGTCCCCACAGCACTGGTCAACCCACAGTGGACTCCCTCAATGGACAATGTTGGCCAACACCCAACAGATCATCCCATGAATATTCTGCCAATGAGATGAATCAAACAATTTGTCTCGCTGGCAGATGGCCAACAGAACTCCAGTCATAGAATCAAGGTTGGAAGAGGTCTCTAAAATCATCAAGTCCAACCATTAACCTGTCACTGCTGTAACCCCGAAACCATATCCTCCAGCACCAGATCCAGACACCTTTTAAACACCCCCAAGGATGTTGACTCCACCACCTCCCTGGGCAATATTTGTGTCTGACAATGAAAATCTTTTTCTTAGTATCTAATCTGAACCTCCCCTGTCTCAGCTTTTGGCCATCCCCTCTAGTGCTCCCACTGCAGGACAGACATCTCCCACATCTCTCCAACCCCCTGTGAACATAACCCCAGTGAACATGGCCAAAACCTCATTTGCCACCCACTAGGCAACACCAGCCAACACCCAATCCTCAAAGGACATGGCTACTCAACACCCAGTAGATCTCTTCCAAAGGCCACTGTAGGCCCATCCTCCACTGGAGGCTCCGTGACCCAAAGCACTCCTAGCTCAGCAAGGGGCTCCAAGGGCAGAGGGAATCAGGTGCCTGCTGGAGCAACCTCACCTCCAGGTGTCATTGGCTAGGTCATAGCACTCCACAGTGTCTATGCAGTAGAGCTCCCCTGAGCTGCCCCCCAGGGCATAGATGAAATTCCCAAGTGCCGCAGCGGCAAAGTAGCTCCGTCCACAGCTCATGCTGGCCAGGCGCTCCCAGCAGTCATCCATGGGCTGGTACCTAGTTTTGAGAGGCAAAGGGGCAAGAGACTCTGTGTTACCTACACCACCGTGAGCTGATATTGGCACCACTGAGGGCAACAACCCACCTACAACCTGCCAGTCCCAGAATACCTTGGGATCATATGGTTGCCTTGAATGTGAATAGCTCCTCCTTCTGGGAAATACCAAACCCATCATGACCTGAGGCATCTCCAAGTAAGAGTCTCTGCAACACCCCAGAGTACGAGAGCATCTCCCAGTTCTACACCCAACCCATCCTAGAATGCCTTGGGGCCACTTGACCAAGGGCAATGCCACAATGCCTTGTGTCCATGGGGCAGCTCTAGCTCCACCAACACCTCCTCTGATCCCACCCTGTCTTGGTGCCACATGGCAGCTCTAAATCCTCTGTAGCTCTCACCTGTAGACACTGGCCAGGGTGTCATGGACCCCATAGTAGTGCTTTCCACCCAGGACGTAGAGGCTGTTGCCCACCACGGCGACAGCATGGCGGAAGCGTGGGCCGTCAGGAAAGTGTCCCAGTGCCCTCCACTCAACCTGCTTCACCAGTCCCACAGCACTGAGGTAACGGTCTGCAAACCAGAGGTGGCTGCTGGGCTTCCTGGCAGCCAGGTTGTCTGTCACCTTGTCTCCACCACAAACCACCAGCACCTGCTGCGAGGAACGGACCCGGCACGGCAGCTGGGCCATGGGGGCAAAACTCGCTACCACGAGCTCACGGAGGACCTTGGGGTCAGCCACCCCTGCAGTCACTGATGGGACCTTCTTCAGCTCCAGGCCGGACATGAGGGCAAAGCGAACGGACGACAGGACCTCCTTGGCTAGATCCTCTTGGCCGTCTCCGTTGGCCCTAAGCCACCGAGATGCTGCTTCCAAGGCTTCCAGTTCATGGAGGACATTGAGGCCATCAGAGCGGAGGAGGCGGATGAGGAGGGGTGCAGGAAGATCCAGGAAGGCTGGTGCAGCCACCACACTGGGGAAAGTGGCCAAGATGTAGTCCTCTGCTGCACGGCCCACCTCATCCAGCCCATAAGCCACAGCAAAGGCCAGAACGTCCGGGCCAGTTTCTGGGGTGAGGCCATGGGTGAACACATCCATGCAGAGAGTGAGGAGCCCCCAGGCCTGGTAACGCAGGGAGGTCTCAGCTGCCTCCAGGACCACAGGCCATGGCCCTGCTACAGCCCCTGTGTAGGCGAAGGAGAGGAGGAGACGCAGCTCCGCCGGGGACAGCCCCGTGGCCAGCGGGGCCGCAGGG